TGGAATGCTTGATGATTCACAAACCCCACCTCAAAATCCCCCACTGAGCAAATTAGTTGGCGGTGGGTCCACTAAAATTCCTCATGGATTAAAATCTTTCAAACTCCCACTGTGTCTAACCTTTTACACTCCCATTGTCGAAGTTCTGGCACGATATTCAAAATTTTAATCTGTTAATCTATGGCAATCATTAAACCCCCTTCGTGTTAATATCTTATCACTTGACATTAAAAATTCCTAATGGGTGTATTGTATAAATCAACATTCTCACTATTATTTGTACCTCCACTATCACTGTTTCTTAGTCAAACCTTTCTACAATTAGGACCAAAGCTAAAATCCCCTATCGATTCCTTTCATGAACGAGAGGCTCACTTATAAAACCGAGATCCCCTTTTAATAAATGAAAAGGCCTCTACCCAATTTGAACAATCAAGCCTATAAAAGGTAGAATATCTCAACTCTCACTTGGTCAAACCTTCCTACATTCAGGACCAAAACCAAAATCCCTTCTTGATTCTTTCCATGACTGAGGGGTCTATTTTAAGAACCGGAATTCCCTTTCGATAAACGCAAGGTTTCCATTTATTCCTCTTCAGTCAAACCCTGCTATAGTTTGGGCTGAAATTAGAATTTCATCTCGATAAACGAGAAATTCATCTTCAGATCGGTTAACCAACACTATAAAAGTTAGGGTTATTCGGATCTTTTTGATTCTCAGAGGGGAGATCCCACTCTTAGTTTTACCTTTCAAGATTCTCAAAGTGGAGATCCCACTTTGAGTTTCTCTTACAGCAGGAGATAAAATATAAAATTATTTCTCTCCGGCATCGAGTTTGTCTTTGCCCCCAAGAGAATACAAGCAGGAGATGGAATATAAAATTCTTTGTCTCCAACATCGGGTTTGTCTTTGCCCCAAGAGAAGACAAGCAGGAGATAGAATATAAAATTCTTCCTCTCTAACATCTTTTTGATTCTTATCTTTGCCACAAGAGAAGACATAATTTTTTAACACTGAAATCTATGTCTTTTATGCATGGGGAAGTTATCTCGATCCCTTATTAAAGATAAGTCTGCGTCTAACACACGTTGCCGGGTGGTACGTTCCCGTAAAAATGACAAATCCTACATATTCAATATCATAGTTGGTGGTTATTATTAAGTTAATAATCTCTGAATCCATATCTTTTATGCATGGGAGAAGTTATCGCAGTCCCTTATTAAAGATAAGTTTGCGTCTAACACACATTGTCGGGTGGTATATTCTCATAAAAATGACAAAACCTACGTATTTAATATTATGGCCGGTGGTTATTATTAAGTTAATAATTTTTGAATCCATGTCTTTTATGCATGGGGGACGTTATCTCGATCCCTTATTAGAGATAAGCCTATATCTAACATATATAGCCTACATATTTAACATTATAATTTAGATATGAATTCCCGACCAAGATTATTAGTTCAACGTCTACTCAATGACATGAGCTAAATTTAGAAATCAACACACCAACTTCAGTTCAAAATTTTGATAACGGTTAGACGATAAACACAGCACCGGAAGAATTTTGGCTATTCGACAAAATATTGAATAGACCGAAAGCTGAAGAAGTCAAAGAATTAAAGGTTGGATGTATCATATCCAAAGTATTCCAGCCTCCTCTATGAAAGAATGAAGTTAAAATATTTTGGAGGAGGTATCTGTAGGTATCAAAAATTACCTATAGGGTATCACACATAGCTCAAGATGAAGAGAATGCGATAAACGTCATTATCTAAGTTATAAAGGATCATCCAAAGCTAAAAATCAACTAAGAAATGTACAAGAAGTGCCTCATATAAGTATCAAGGCACAAAATGTGTCTCAGAAACTATGAGAAGACTCATAGTTTCCGAGACAGTTGCGTCTATCTCGGAAGATATGAAGGAAAATCATAGTTTCCGAAATACTTGCGGCTGTCTCGGAAGCTATGAAGGTAAATCATAGTTTACGAAACACTTGCGACAGTCTCAGAAACTAGAGTGGACTTGGTGATGGTTTTCTCGAGTTTTGGGCAATCCATGTGGCTTCATAACTACTGGAGACCATCCATAATTATGGGGAAGATATTACAAGTGAAAATCATGTCCATAACTACTAGAATAATGACAATTAAACGTGGTTGAAGTAGTCATAAAACTGCCAGAAACAAGCCCTGTTTCCGAGATAGCTGCGAGTGTCTCGGAAACAGAGGTTTTTCAACACAGTTTCTTATCAACTTCAGACTTCAGTTACGGTTCTTATGGGTTATAAATACCTTCCTAGGACTATTACTAAGGAGGATGGAGCATTATTGAGCAGAATAGAGCAGAGATTTGAGCATTCTAAGTAAGGGAGAGACAGAATCTTCATCGCGTGCAAACCTTTCAGAGCTCTAGCGATTTCTTGAGATCTAAGCTTTGACTTAATCTCAAGAAGAGTGTTTTATCTTACTTTGCTAAGATATTCACTTCTGCTTTTATTTTTAAAATGAAACATCGACCTTAAGCCTTCTTCACGGTTCAACTTGGATCTGTGATTCGGTCATCTACGGGCTAACGCATCCCTGACACATGCAAATATCTCACGCAAACAACAAACAATAAACGTTCCTGCTAATGAGTTGTAACAAAAAGTCTTATAAAAAGATTTGTTTCTCAGAATTCATTGTATTTGATAAATGAGTTGTAATGAGTTCAATAAATAAATTACTAATTTCTAATGCAAACAACATCATCCTCCACCTATTGCGATAACCCACTAGTCAGGCATTCCTCCACCTACTGAGGGACTTGAAGCCTCATCATGTACGCCTCATCAAAAGTGACATCCCTGCTAATGATCATCTTCTTATCTTGTAGATCCCACAACTTGAAGTCTTTAACTCCATCTCTAAAACCCACAAAGACTGTTTTCCTCACGCTCGGATTTAATTTCCCATCATTCACATGATAGTAAGCTGGACACCCAAATATTAAAAGCAACTCATAATCACTAGCCACCAAACCAGACCATAGCTCCATATGAGTCTTCCCATGTATCGCAGTGCATGACAACCTATTCACGAGATGGCTTGCATAAACTAACACATCGGTCCAAAAAGATCTAGCCAATCCACTCTGTGAGAGCATACAACGTACCTTCTCCAGCAAGTTACGATTCAATCTCTCAGCCACCCCATTTTATTGTAGTGTCTCTCTAACTTGAAGTGTCGTCTAATACCGTTATCCCGATAAAACTGCAAAAATGGATCACTCTTGTACTCTCCATCATTGTCTGAACGAAGTACCTTCACCTTTCTACTTGTCTGCCGCTCTACTTTCTTCTTGCACTCTACAAATATATCCAGTGCCTCATGTTTATTCTTCATAGGGTATACCCAGTTCCTCCTGGAATAGTCATCGATGAAAGTGATAAAATAATTAGCCTCACCAAGAGAAGTGTTCTTGGAAGGACCCCAAACATCTGTATGAACATAATCAAATATACCTTGGGTATTGTAAATTGTGATGCCAAATTTCACTTTTATCTTCTTCCTAAGTACACAGTGCTCGCACAACTCCATCTTATAGGTCTTTGCATCTTTTAACTGTCCATGTTTCGTCAATACCTGCAGGGACTTATCACCAGTGTGCCCCAATCTCATATGTCGTAAATTGGTAGTATCCTCCTTTGTGGTAATTGAAGCTGTCAGACCTCCTATCACTGTCTTTCCCTTCAAGTAGTATATGTTGTTTTCTCTAACACCTTGATCACCATCATAGACCCTTTTGTGACCTTCAGAGTTGCATTCTTCAAAATCATCTTATAGTCTGCTACCTCTAAAGTTCCAAGACAAGTGATGTTCTTTGTCAACTGCGGAACGAACCTCACTTCCTTCAGCTCCCTAATCACCCCGTCACACATCTTGATCCTAACAATATCGATACCACCAATAGGGCATACATGATCATTACTCATGAGCATGACATTCACTCTTTGGGCATACGTGATCATTACCCATGAGCACGACATCCCCTCTTTCCAACTCCTCAAAGTTGGAGAACCAATCCCTCCTAGGGAAAATATGATATGTAGCACCCGAATCCAACATCCACTCCATAGAGTCGGCATAACAAACTGACGGTAGTGTAAGGCATGAGTAGCTCGAAGAATCCAAATCTGAATTTTCGCCAATAGCTTTGGCAACATTCACCTCTGAAGCTTGTACAGTTTTTCTCTTATTCTTCCCGGCTTTATCCTTCAACTTTGGGTATTCATTCTTCCAATGTCCATCTTTTTTACAAAACGCACATTTATTCCTACCAACACTCTTATGGCCACCTCTATTCTTTGACTTTGAGTGATTAAACTGGTGACGGTTTGGACTACAGCCTCTCACTGCCAATGCATTTCCCGATGCCTTCTCGGAGGGTTCGTCATCACTCTTTCTCAACTCATAGTTTACTAATGCTGAGGTCACCTCTTTATAGCTAACAATGGTTCTTCTATATATCATTGTAAGAACAAATGTACCATAATCATCTTCTGGCAATGAACATAGCAACAACATCACCTTGTCTTCATCTTCAACCATGATATCCACATTGATCATATCCGACAGCAATTTAGTGAAGTTATTGACATGCTCTCTAATGGAAACTCCCCTCTTTATCTTGAATTGGTAAAACCTCTTCTTCAAACGAAGCCTATTCTCAATGCTCTTCGTAAGATACTTCTCATTGAGTGATTCCCATAATCGTTTCGTCGACGTCTCGTTCATCACATCATAGATCAAATCCGGCGTCAAGCATGACCTAATAACCCCACGTGCTCTACTGTTAACCTTCTTCCAAACCTTTTCCTTCATATCAGCTGGTTTCTCTTATAATTCAAGAGTCTCCTCTAAATTCTGGGCATCCAACGTATCCATCACCTGATACCTCCACAAACCGAAGTTTATCTTGCCATCAACTTCTAAACGTCAATTTTAGTGTTATTGATGTTCAAACCTTGTATCGTCTTCGAAAGAGATGATCCTGATGTACTTGATTCACCCATGCTGACGATCCAATCTCTTCAAACAAGAATCCTGCAGAGAATCCTCCAAAACGAGCCCCAAGCCAAACCCGAAGCTCTGATACCACTTGTTGTGCGCAGCAAAATTCAAACACAAAAGAGCACGAACAAGCGAGATCAAATCACAAATAATAAACCAACACAAGCACCACAGCAAGACAATAAATTTTACGTGGTTCGACAAGTTGTCTACGTCCACGGGGCAAGGAGAAGGAGTTTTTACTATTAGAGAGAAAGAGAATACAATTAGGGTTTACAATCTCACAAAATCTCATAAATAAACCCTCAAACAAAGCTCTCAAATCTCTCACCAATTCTCCCTCAAAAGATGCACAAAACTCTCTCAATGGCTGCTCAAAACCGTCTCTTAAATTACCATAGAAACAACAATGTTTCTATTTATATGAATAACAAACCCAAACCAATCAGGAAACTGATACTAGGCCCAAAATCGTGACCTATTCGACCGCACATGTGGTCCGGTCGACCGACCAGAAGGCTGAAATCTCAGTTTAATCAATTATAGGGTTTCGGTCGACCGCACTAGCCTAGCGGTCGACCGGACAGGGTTCACGGTCGACCGACCTAACCTCGCGGTCGTCCGGACAGAAAGCCAAAAGAACACCCTGTAATGTGCACATTTCCGGTCAACCGGCCTAAGCTCGCGATCGAACGGATTGCATCCAAAATTCGGCATGCTTCATTTTTCCTGTTCTTCGTTGTCATTTTCGCCGTTTGTACAGCAAATTAATAGCATCCCCCTAAACTCAATATATACACCAAAAGCAAGGAGCACAAACAAAAAAACAAAGTACTACTTTTTCAATACTTTTTTGATAAGCACTAACTTAAGAAAAATTATAAACAAATACAAATTCGAACTTGCTAATTAAACTGAGCTACCTCAGGTTCAACCATACAAATTAGCTTTGTGAGGTCAATTTCTTAAAAAAAAACAACTCTCTCCTTCTCTAAACGTAAAAGAGTCAAAAACTTTCACTCCGGTGGGATCAATCTGCGCTCCGGTGGGATCAATCTGCGACAACAGAAGTACAAAAGGTCTATCCTCAAATTGAGCCATAGTGAAGGGGGAATTATCCACAATTATCCCAAATTTTGATTGCTTATTAGGATCCATGCATTTTCCAATTACATGTATTTTTTTATACCCAAAAAACAAATGAATTATAACTTCCTTTCTTATATGTTGAACAGATAAACCAAGGTCCAACAATTGAGGGAAATTGCATTGGAGTTCCATTTGCATGCTCATCATCATTTCAACAGCCTATTAGTATCCCCGGACCATCAAACTTCTTCATCCCCAATGGTGCTAATATCGAAAACAGCACATACAATGCGGCAGCGAATGGCACTACAGAGAGTACATTTAACAACACAACTGAAGTACTGGAGAATCATGCAAATGTGTTCACGCAAATCGCCGAAGCAGCAGCTGATGAACTCCTAATAATGGCACAAACAGGCCAGCCTCTTTGGTTACCAGCTGCTGGCCCTGAAAACTACATAGAAATCCTTAACGAAGGAGAGTACTTGCTCAGTGTCTCGAAATGGGCGGTTCCTAATTCTTTTGGTTTCACGAGGGAAGCTACCCGAGCTGTCACGATGGTTAATATGAATGCTTTTCGTTTGGTGGAGATATTATGTGATGCTGTAAGCGAGTTGGTTTATTTTGGTTATTTTACATATGTCATGTGTTTGAATATTTGAATTTTTGCAGAAGAAGTGGTCTGCATTGTTTTCTGGTGTCGTGTTGAGGGCGACCACGATGGAGGTTCATTCGAGGGGGAGGAACTATAATGGAGCTATGCAAGTGGTATGCATCTTTTCTCTCTCTCTCTCTCTCTCTCTCTCTCTTTGAATACATGCGTGCAGATGTTACATTTTTGAAAAATGATTTAAGGACCCAAAATATGGGACCAATGAAGGGGACAGGTGAGGTGTCCCCTCCTTATTGCATAATGAGTTGGTCATGCCAACTCATGCCAACTCATTATGCAATAGGGAGGGGACACCTCACCTGTCCCCTCCATTGGTCCCATATTTTGGGTCCCCGTAGCAGCACTCTACATTTTTACTGTATTACGTAAAAATCATACTTATTCTTGTTACATTCTAATTTCTTGAAAATTAAAGATACATTATCTAAAAGTGGGATCTGGATCCTGTCCAATTTAACTAGTCATTGGAGAGATTACTTTCTAGATCACAATCATCTATCCATTTAGTAGATGGTTGTATATTTTATTAAATAAAAATTAAATTAGTATAATTAAAAAAGAGAATATTATTAGTTATATTAGAAGACACCATTAATTAGCTATTCTAGAAATGAATTATATAACTAGCTATCTCAATATTATTGGATGATTATGATTTGATTGCAAAAGTCTTAAAGGAAAATGACCTACGTATTTGTATGTGTATGCATGTTTCTTGCTGGTAATTACATCTGTATGAATCCATTTAATATTTGTGAGGGTTTAATAGTATCATTAAGAAGATAAATGAGATGTGAAACGTGTCCAGATAATCAAGTATGACAACCACTGACATGAATTTTTCAGATATCTGCTGAGTACCAACTACCATCTCCCCTCGTTCCTACCCGTGATATTTTATTTCTGCGCTACTGCAAGAAACTGCCTTTGGAGAGAACTTGGGTAGTTGTTGATGTTTCCTTGGACTTGTTTCGATCTGATCCAGCACCCAACCGATGCCAAAAAAGACCGTCAGGCTGTATAATCGAAGAAATAGAAGAGCAAACAATAAAGGTAAAATAAAACAAAATAAAGCACATCAAAAATGTATTCTAAAGTTAAACTACTTTTGAACATGAAAACAGGTAATCTGGGTTGAGCATGTTGAAATCAATGTACAAGCCAATTTTGTTCATGCCATGTACAAGCCAATTGTCAGTTCTGGTATCGGTTTTGGAGCGAGGCGTTGGTTGGCTATGTTGGGTCGACAAAGTGATCGCATTGCAAATGCGATGAACTGCAATATTCCCTACTTCAGCGAGTTTGATGGTAAATACAAAAATTCAATTTTCTTCCTTTTTGTTCTTTATAAAAATGGTTATGTTCTTTTACTTTACGACATAAATGTTCCCTCATTTTTGACTTGTATCCTGAAGTTTAAATTTGCATGTATTCATTCATTTGGAAGTTAGATGCCAAATTGATAAATGAATGAAAGTTTAAAGTATTCAACAAAAAAAAAAAAATCCTTCCGCGGAAGACAAACTTACTTTGCTTTCTTTGTATTACAGCAGAGAGAGCAACTCGAGGTACTAGTCCTGGTAATAATGTGCTCAAGCTTGCAGAGAGGATGGTGTTAAGCTTTTATGCTGGATTGGCTTGCTCTCTTGCTCATGGCTGGGTTAATGAATTTGGAGACGGCACTGAAAGTGTCAAAATTGCTAGTAAAAGAAATGTCGGTGATCCTCGAATGCCTTCTGGTGTCATTGTCAATGCTTCAGTTTCTTTCTGGGTACCTGCAATGCCGAAAAGGGTTTTTGATTTTCTCTGTGATGAAAGCTCTCGTGATAAGGTAACTGAGTTCCAACTTTATAGTCTCTATTGATTATGCCTTTGTGTTTTGCACAGGAATTACAAATCAACTATCAATGGGAAAGAATAGTATGCTTTTAGTAATTTGCTTTATAAATTAGTAATTATGAGTAAAGTCTTAGCAATGGTAATTTTATTTGCTCTAAATTGGAAAGAGACGTTTAAATTTCACCGAGTACTATACGTTGTTTCTTTGTCAAATGTAGATAGAAACCTGAGTGTTATTTCAGAATAAAATTGAATGGCATCATAAACTAATCTGCTAACAACATGCAGGTATTAGATGCCTAAAAGCAAATTTTGGTTTCATGTCATATTATTGCAAATTCAGTTAACCATTCTTTTTTATGCAAATGTAATATGATAGTATCAATCTGTAATTAACATATAATGCAGTTACTGACAGTAAATTTTCTTTTATAAATCACTAATAGTTTATACATTCAATTCAAAATATGGGACAGTGGGATAGCCCGTCTGAAAGAGAGAAACTTGTACCAGTAGTTCTAATACCCACAGGCATAGAATCTGGCAATTACATTTCAATTCTCAAACAGGTAACAATTCTACCCTATCTCTCAATTTCTCTCTTCTTTCAAAACTTCAGGCTCAAAGAGTTAGTTTTTTTCTCTCCCTCTGAATCATTGTTTTTGTAGGCAAATGACAAGACTAAGCACAAGAAAAAGATGTTCATTCAAGAGAGCTGCTTTGACAATACTTGTTCATACTTGATCTATGCTCCTGTTAGCAAGAGGTCTGTGAATGTGTGCATTCATGGTGGTGATCAAGAAAGGATACAACTTTTGCCTTCAGGGGTTACTATTGTCCCTGATGGGCCTTACTGGATGACAAATGGCTCGCTCGTTACTGTTTCGATCCAGATATTGTCTGATTCTAATCCCCAAACTGATGTAAATCCTGGTTCTGTTGAGTTGGTGAATAATCTGGTGATGTCTGTTGTCGATAGCATCAAGATCGGGGTAGTGGACGAGAATCAGTAGGTGAAGCTTAAGACGGCTTGTAGGATGCCCGGTTAGGTTAGCTTGTGATGTTAAAATCATCTTTGTTTTATTATCTTATTTTGCCTGAAGTTAAAAGTAGTTTATGTTTGGACATTACTCTATGTTTGCTTGTTCTCAGTGGTTCATGTTTCAGAGCTATAAATGTCACAATGAAATTGGAGTTTAGTTTGGTTATTTTATTTTGCTTCTTCTGTACTTTCTGCATTTTTGGTATTATTTCTGAGACATAACGGTAACTTTGAAGTGGAGCATAAGTAGAAGCTGAATGGACGTGTTTGTGATGGGAAGTCATCAACATTTGGGTTCAAGTTCTGCACTGGCAAACCAAAGCCTTTGATTAGATGGAGCACTCTTATTCTTTGCTAAACTAGTAACAACTTAGACATAGTCCTTTTTTCAATAACTCAGCTAGGAATTGAACCCAAAACTGTGGAGTCATATTGGAACCCCTCAACCATCCAAAACATCCGAAGTAAGTAATTACTAGGCTTGGCTCTGGAGCTATGCGGGCTGATCCACCGCACAAGGCCTCTAAAAATTAGGGGCCCCAAAAAAAATTTAATTATATTTATATGTATATATGTTATTATAGTATATCAAAAGGATAAGTAATTTAAAGAGGCAGAGTTGGCATTGATATTAGCAAAAAAAGGTATTTGCATTAATTGATAGGCCCTCTACCTACCTATCTCTAGCCATTTCTTCACGTGACATCGCTTTCATCCTCTTTCTTTTCTACGAACTAAACGACTCGGACCCTCCATCTTCTCTCATTCTCTCCGTTCGCTGTGGCCTACGATCTGCAAATCAATCCCCCAATCGGCCAATCCATCATCCCTGATCCATCATCCTACGATCAGATCGGCCGATCAGATCACTAGTTTGTGAATTCGTGTGCATTTTCTCTAGTGAAAAGGGAAGCAATCTTCATATCAGATCAGGTAATTATTTTTCCTATTTTAACTTCCTGTTCGCTATGTATTTTCGTTGTGGTATTTAGGTTGTTAATATATTATATATATACCAATATTTGAACTTTTTTTTTCTTATGAATTCTTTCTTTCATTTTACAGGTGGGACCGTGGAAAGAGGAAGTCAACTATCATTTGCAGACTACTCGAGTACCTCTTCCACTTGATTTAAGGCTTCAAATTAGGTTGTATTGTTCCAAATCTTTTGACTTCTTTCAATTTGATTGTAATATTTTTTTATTATAGAAATGTCTCCAAGAAATTATCCTTCCGGATATGATAAACGCAAGAAAAAAGAAAAATTGAACAATTTGTCCAAACTCAAAGTGGAGCGCTTGATAAATTCATTGTTAGAGAAACACAGGATTTAGTTGAAAATTCAATTGAAAATGATAACATTAATGATTTGGGCATGAATGAGTATGAGAATAAAAATGTTGATGATCAAAGTAAAAATAAAAATGATAATGAAAATGAGAATCATAATGATAATGAAAAGGAGAATCAAAATAAAAATGAAAATGAAAGTAAAAATAAAAATCAGAATCAGAATGAAATTGATATTGACAATCAAAATAAAAATGAAAATGAAAATATTTTAGGCAATGGACAACCTAATCAATCCATGCTCATGAATTTGAATATTTATGATCCAAGAACGTGGGATAATTTGGACACAAAATCTAGAGATATATTAGTGGAAAATAGCCATATAAGAGATCTATTAGTCGAAAAAGGTCCTACAGATAAATTAGGAAGATATTTTTCTTCGGAATTTTACTCTAGACATTTATCAAATGGAGAGAAATGCGATAGAGAATAGTTAGTTTATTCAAATGATATTAATAAAGTATTCTGTTTTTGTTGTAAATTGTTTAAAAATAGTTTTAAGAAAAGTTTTTTTAATAAATGAAGGACTTAATGGTTGGATATTGTTTTCGTCGGAAATTGTTTTCATTATGGAATCTATAAAACTTCAATCGTTTACAACGAATTACACAATAAAATAAAAAAGTTACAATTCCTTGAAAAATAACACAGAAATTGTTTATTAACTCCTACCTTTGTGGGATCTTCGCCTGTACTGGGGGGTGCGTTAATCCGTGGACCACCGAATCACGAATTTTGATTGAATTGTGAAGGTTTTGAGGGTTCTTCCTTCGTTTAGGAGCAAGAATAGATTCAGTGAATATCTTATCGAAGTAAGATGAACACTCTTCTCAAAATCAAATCAAGGCTTAGATCTTAAGGGATTTCCCAATTGTTAAAAAGAGATGACATCTTGAAATTCACTCAAGCCTTTTGAAAATCTCTAATCAATTACTCCAACAACAACCTCTCTGCTCTATGCTCTCTGCTCTTGGATCCTGTGCTAAAATGCTCCCCAAGGGGTATTTAAGGCCTCTGAAAATTGTAACCGAAATAGGATAACATAGGGGGAAATTGTGCTTCTGAGACAGTTGTGACTGTCTCGGCGGCCAAGATAGTTGTGACTGTCTCGGCTTCCGAGACAGCCATGACTGTCTCAGAAAGTCTAAACTGCCCAGCCGTTTTTTTGTAACCGCTCTCCTACGTTTTAAACGCCATTATTTTGGTAGTTATTAATGTGATTCTCGCCCACAACATTTCCCACGTTCTTTAATAGTTAATGGCCACGTGTCATGCACATTCCCCAGCAGTTTTTGAACTCTTCAGAACTGTCTCGGACCGCATGCGAGACAGTCAACACAGTCTCACGTGGGAGACAGTCAATATTGTTCGCGTGCGAGACAGGCCACACTGTCTCGCGTGCGAGACGGGCCACACTGTTTGGGTTCGAGACAGGCCACACTGTCTCGGGTTTTTCCGAGATAGTTTAGAGCTACTATTGTGTTCTTTTGATCTTTGAGTTGTGTTTGGATATTTATAAGCATTTTTGGACATCTACAGATACCTCCTTCAAAGTATTTCAGACTCATTCTTTTATAAAAGAGGCTGAAATACTTTGGATATGATACGCCTGGTCATTAATTCGTTGACTTCTTCAACTTTTAGTCTATTTAGTTTTTTGTGGATAGCTGAAATTTTTTCGGTATTACGTTTATCGCTTGACCGTTATCAAAATATTGAACTGAAGCTAGCGTGTTGATTTTTGAATTAGCTCGTGTCGTTGGGTTGACGTTGAACTAATCACCTTCATCGGGAGTTTGTATCTAAGTCACGATTAAACTCCCTGAATTAATTCCTTGAACTGACGTTTTATCCTGAGCCTTGTTTCGGCGGAATTATCGATGCGTTGGCTAGAGTAGACTTTCATTACTATGCGTTGACTGGCGTTGGGACATGGAAAGCCCAAGTGTAGAGACTGTAAGACCAATTGTTGATGTCGGTTCATCTGCCTGTACTAAGTTTCTCCTGGCATGGACTGTTATACATTTGTCGATTTTTTTACTTAATCACATGGGGATTTTGATTATAGGACCAGTTATTGGAGCTAATACGACCACAATCACTCGAGAGGCTTTTTCGATGTTGTCTTGTGTGCGCGAGACAATATACCCTACCTCATGTGTTTGAGGCGGTTCAATTGCCCCGCTTGAAGAAAGATGGCCTTCGGGCTGAATTTGTGTATTTCTTGAGTTTGGCAGAGCTTAAACTTTATTATGATTGTTTATCCTACTCAGAATAAATACTTATAATATTTTTGGCAAATCTTCAGCCATCAACGGATTTGATAAGCATTTACCGACTACCATTTAGCATACAGATTGTTTAAGTCTGTTCTGCATGTAACGTTGTGCTAAGAGAATTAATTCTCTTAGACTTAGTGTTATGATGTTGAATACATAGGTTTGGTTATTTTTACGGAAACGTACCACCCGGCAATATGTGTTAGAAGTAGACTTATCTCTAATAAGGGACTGAGATAACATCCCCCACGTATAAAACATGGATTTGAAAATGTTGATGGGTTATATCTTTTTGGTGAAAAGATGGACCCAACACTGGAGAGGAAGAATTTTATATTCTATCTCCTGGTCTCTTTTTTGTAGGTTGAGATAAACCCAATGATGGAGAGGAAGAATTTTATATTCTATCTCCTGGTTTTTTTTTTGTTGGTAGAGATGAACCCGATGATGGAGAAGAAGAATTTTATATTCTATCTCCTGATCTCTTTTTTGTTAGTAGAGATGAACCCAATGCTAGAGAGGAAAAATTTTATATTCTATCTCCTGCTGTAAAAGAAACTCAAAGTAGGATCTCCACTTCGAGAATCTAAAGGGTGAAACTAAGAGTAGCATCTCCACTCCGAGAATCGAGAAGATTTAGATAATCCTAACTGTTAAAAGGATTGATTATCCAATCTAAAAGTGGATTTCTCATTTATCGAGATGGAATTCTAACTTTGGTCCTAACTATTTAAAGGTTTGACTGAGTGGGGAATGTGTGGAAACTTTTCATTTATCGAGAGGTGATTCCGATTTTGGTCCTAACTGTTTAAATGTTTGACCGAGTGGGAGTTTGAGACGATTCTAACTATTAAAATATTTGATCGTTCGATTTGTGGACCTCTCGTTCATGGAAGGAACTGAGAGAAAATTTTAGCTTTAGTCCTAACTGTTTAAAGGTTTGACCAAATATGAGTTTGATATGATCCTAACTGTTAAAATGTTTGATCATTCAATTTGTGGAACTTTCGTTCATGGAAAGAATCGAGAGGGGATTTTGATTTTAGTCCTAACTGTTTAAAGGTTTGACCAAATAGGAGTTTGAGACAATCCTAACTATTTAAAGGTTTGATCATTCAATTTGTTGAACTCTCGTTCATGGAAAGAATCGAAAGGGGATTTTGCTTTAGTCCTAACTGTTTAAAGGTTTGACCAAATGGGAGTTTAAGACAATCCTAACTGTTTAAAGTTTTGATCGTTCAATTTGTGGAACTCTCGTTCATGGATTGAATCGAGAGGGGATTTTGGCTTTAGTCCTAACTGTTTAAAGGTTTGACCAAATGGGAGTTTGAAACGATCC